TCTGGCCACCTGTCAGCAGCTCGCGGCTGCTCAGCTCCAGGTGCCATGTTCAATCTTATTTGCAGGTGGATGTAGCCAACCATCCCGAGCAGGAATCGAACTGGCAACCTTGTTGTTAGGAGCATGTGTTCTCACCAGCTGAGCCATCCTGCCACCTTTTGGCAGCTCAGCGGCAGCTCAGCTCGGGCGCAGCTCACTGGCCCATGTGGAAATCGATCCGGCGACCCTGTTGCTCAGAGCTCGTGCTCTTAACCAACTGAGCCACTTGGCCATCCCCTATGTCACTCTTCTTAAAAAGGGGGTGAATTCACAAAACAAGCATATAGTTGCGTTCAATTCTACAATAATAACGTTGCCATATTTCACTGATTCATGTCTTCCATTCTGTCCTTCTCCCCAGAGTCGACATAAAATGTGGTTCCCCATATTGCAGACAAATACTATACCCTTTTCTTCATTTTAGAACGGCCCTGTGGATACCCTGGGGATATTGCCTTTGGCTCATTCGAACTTGAAGAAGGAAATGAGTTTGTATTCGGTGCCAAGGTTGTTTACACATGTGATGACGGGTAAGTAGCCGGAAGAGAGGTTTATAATTGAGGTAATTGATAAGTGATGTAGGAAATAGGAACAGTTTTAAGGTTACTGTATTTTTCCATGAGCATTTTTATAGGTACCACACATGTACGCCGAAAAATTAATATTAAATTATGGAAGTGATTATATGTGTTGCCATGTTATCATCACCTCAGCGTTGAAAAATTACAATGAATTGTAATCACTCTGGTAGAACGTAGTTATAGGAGGGTAGGAAAATAGTGTGCATATAATTAAGGGGTCACTCCAAGAAGTTCTCACGACATCATATTATCTGCAGAGTGTTATGGGAGTTCAGTGTGTCAGGGACAGGGGGCTCGGTAACAACATTAGGTGACATGGTACCTATTTTAATAACATCTTATAAAATTTAGGAGAAGCGAGATGTTTTACACTGAAATAATAACAACCACTGTTCTTTAAGGTTCCATGGTCTGCATATTATTCTTATCACATGGACCAAAAAATGCTACTCTGTTTATAGTCATTGGCTCTGTGTTCCCTCGCTGGGCTTTCATGGCTAATCCTAACACTGTTACCGCCTGTGTTCCCTTCCCTGATAGCCCCAGTCAGGTCAAAAACTCAATTTGGCAGAAAGTCTCATGCCTGGGAAAAGCAGTATCATTACAATTGTGTACAACAGCAACATCAGTAGGATCCAGGGATCCCAAACGGCATCTTCTTCTCCCCTGGTTGATTTCCTGATTTGCGGCAGTCAAATAGACAGGCATAAGGCTTAGGCTTTGGAGGAAGCCTGCATTCCAAATCCCCACCACTCAATAATCGCATGCATTTCTAAAACCACCTCTCCACCTCCATTTCCTCCCTTATCAAAGCAGAAACATATCAAGTATGTCCTCGGGCTGGGGGAGCAATAGCAAGACACACACTTGAAACCCTTAGAAGAATTTCCGGTATCTTGTTGACAACCAATAAGGATCCATTCTCGGGCCTCAGTCTCTCCTTGGTCACTACCCAAGGGAGATTTTTCATAGATACTTCGAGGTTTTAGCCCAACCTGCAGTCATTACTTGTCACCTTATTACCCATGACCGAAAACAGTAAGACCCTCTGGGCCTGCACTTTCTAATTTCCTCCTCTGAACTCTGGCTTTTAATCCAGGCCGCTTCGCCCTTGGTGGGCTCACCTTTGACCTGGCAGAAGGTGGGACCACTCACAGCCTTTCCCACTTTGGTTCCACAAATCTCAGGACTCAGTCATATTATCAGTTGGTAATGAAATCGGCAGCACGCTTGCCTCTGCTCAGCCTCTCTCTCCGCCTGCTTCAGCACCTGGAGTATGGAGGACCCACAGTTGCAGACCCTCCATCAGAGGACATGTCCCCACCACTGAGCCTGGGACTCCAGCAGGACTAGGTACTTGAAATAAAGGTCCTCAGGTCACGCAAGGTCAGCAGTCAGAAGTAGCCTGTGCTGTTTTTGAGCTTTGTGGATGGATCGTTTTGCCTGTCTGAGGAGGCGCACGTCTCTGGACCCAGTTGTAAAATCTGACGGTAGAGTGTGTTTACTACACCCATGGTTTCTGCCAGTAAGTGTACCCACCTTGAGCCTCGCCCCCACGCACCGTTTCTTTGCTGAATACCTATGTGGCTGAATACTACCCACTTATTAGGATACTCTGTGTAGATACCCAGTTTCATTACCTTATAGGCAGGAAGTTTTAAGGAGGCACTCTGCAAAAAGTTCTGGGTTTGTTTTTGGTTTTGGTTTTGGTTTTGTGTTTTCGGGTTTATTTTTGCCTAGCTTGGTAGCTGAACAGAAACAGAACCATTGCCTTTTCCCAGGCACCAACCTGTGCGCATTCTTTCTCTCTTCTCCCACCCTCTGTGTATGTGGGCCCCTCGAGGCTTTGTTCAGAATTTTGTGGAACTCCTGAAAGAGCTTTGGAGGAATGATGGTCCTCTCCTGTAGATGCAAAATATCCAGGAAATCTGCTCTCTCTGTTGGGAGGAGGCAACCTCCAATCGCCAATTCTTTTATTCTTTTCTGTGACAGAGGCATGGAGTCGATGTTTGACTTCCAGTTTTGTGGCTCCCATTTAATGGATTGTTTTGTTTCATTTTGTTTTCCCTTAGAGAATTAGGAACGAACCGATAACAATAAAAAAAGACAAAATATGTTTGGAGGGAGAAAATGTGCTTGTTTTACTTGTGGAATGGGCTATCTTTATTTTCAGATGAAGGAAACATTTGTCTATGTTGAATTATTTAGAAATTTATGAAAGGCCCTTTTCAAATGATCTCTCTTGTGGTGACCAAACTGCCTTCCATTATTTATTTTTTGAGAGACAGCTTTTTGCTTCCAGCTCTCCACTGCAATATTGAGAAGGATGCTTTGCCTTGATCTGAAGCCCCTGGCACCTTTTGCCACCTGCCTTAAGGAACTTTCTTTCAAGTAGAGAATTTTAGATTCTAAGGACACGCCAGATGACATACGATAATTAGATAAATTCGACATTGAATGGGTTACATAAGCAGACTTGACTCGATGACCACACTCTGGAAAAACTCTCTAGCATGGAGATGTCTCCTGGAGACAAGTGCTGAAAATAAGCCACACACGAAGACATTTTTCCTAGCACTAGCCTTGATTATGTAAAAAGCTCAAAGTGACCAGAAAATAGCACCATCATGGAGGGTAGGAGGACAGTATAAGACTGAAGGAGGGCTGGTTAGCTATCATGTTTACGGCTTTTGTTTTTGGTGACAGTTGATGGGGCTTATTACATTGTAAAGTGTAACTAATTAACTGACTCAACGATAAAATAAAAGTGTATTGTGCATGGAGTAATAATGAGTTTGCGTCATGAACCAATGGCTATGGTTATTCCAAGTTCATGTACCTGAGGGCTTGGGGGCCTTTCTTAATAAAGGAGAGTTTCAGAAAGACAAAAAGAAATTTAAGAGAGAAACAGAGGAAGGAAGGAAGAAGGCGGGGGAGGGAGGGAAGGAAAAGAAGAAAGTGCAGATGCTGTTCATTTTCCCTGAAACGGAGTTTCGATATTCAGAATGGCATCAAATTTAAAACTGCATATAAATGCACATTATCTCACCACTCTGTTATTTTGGGCTTTCAGGTATCAGCTGTTAGGTGAGGTTAATTTCCGGAAATGCGAAGCAGACGGATGGAGCAATGATGTTCCCATGTGTGAAGGTAGGTGTAAAATGGACTAACAAATATAGAGCATGCCAAAAACATGGGTACACATTTTAAGAAAGGAAAAAACTGTATTAAAGTTATGCTGATGGTTACCACTCTGAGCACCTCTTTGAATTGCAGAAGTCAAACGTGACCTGTAGTCATCTTTTGTTATCGGTATATATTGAGTATTACAATTTTTATACAGTTTTTTCCTTTCTTAAAATGTGTATGCATTTTTTGGCACCCTCTGTATATTAAAATGTTAAACATATCTAAGTTTTTAAAAAATGTTTTACATTAAAACAGCCTTAAAGTCTATATTTGAATATTTCTCACATTATTTATTGTGACTTATAATATAATACAGAGTGTATCTCTAACCTTTTTATTACTACATAGTTTTGTGTTTTAATAACCAAATATTAATATAACCTCATCTGATCTAATATTCAAAGTATTAGAGATTAGGAAATCAAAAACTTAGTTTTCATTCCTTTTGGATTCTAACCACTGGAAACAACTGACATATCACTATTTAAATGAAGCCCAGAATTTCAGCTTTATTAATGAAGAGGCACCCACCGACCACCCAAAGGCAGGACCTGGTAACAGCTGAAGGGGAGAACTTGGCTGAGACATGTCTCCCTTCTCGCCTGACAAGGGAGGTTTTCCTGTGCTCTTATTCTGACTGAAAGGAGACAGGAAGAGAGCTCGGCCCGTTTACTGATCCAAAACGCAGACTGAGTGTAGGAAAAAGTGGACCCGAGCTCCACATTCGGAGCTAGCGATCCCAGTCTCCAGTCATCACAGAAATCAATCAATCAGAATAGGGTTTCCTGGTTCCACAGTGAGGAGTGGTAGAGAGGGAGAGAGGGAGGAAGAGGGAGAGGGGGAGGGAGAACTAGGGACAGAGAGAAAGAAAAGGAAGGGGGAGGAATGCGATCCCCCAAAAACACTGTTACCTGAGAAGAGACTGGAAAACCTTTCATCTCCAAAGATGAGAGGAAAGAGGTAAACATTCCAGGGACATGCACATTGGAATCACCTGGGGCGTTTGTTACAAAGGAAATTTTGGGTTGGAAAGACCTACTGAATGGGTGTATCTGGGGTGAGAGGGCGGGGAGATAGTCGTAGACTTTCGGCTGTAAAATGCCAGTTCGAGTACCACCATAACCTGAGGGATATGGGAAAACATTATGTAAAATCAAAAGAAGCGCTCAGATTATTTTGAACACTGATATGGAAGAGGAAGGAAAATGTAAAACTATTCTCTACTGAAGTAAATATTGGGTTGTCGGAAAAGGCATGACGTACTTTTTCTATGTTTTTCGTTGCAAAAATGCATCATGCCTTTTCCGACAACCCAATAGAATCAGAAAGTTTGCTTTTACACCTTCAGGAAATACAGTGTTGTATGATTGTGGGACTTATATGGAAATTTTATATTTAGTTACCCGAAGCTTCATATTTCTCAGTTATTTAGGAAACTCTTAGTTTGTCCCTACAAAAATATAAACTGTCATGCAAAGTAGTAATTTTCTTTGTCCACTTGCACAGAAAAGTATCAGAGATAAACTCTATTGTTTTTGTTACTTAGCAGAATTTATCTCTGGCAAACAGGTATATCAAATGCTTCTTAGAAAAAGAAAAGCTCAAGTAATTTTCTCCAGTCTTATCTTGCTGATGATTTTATGCCTATATTGTATAGAGATACATATTTCCCATGATAAAGTTTTCAAATTCCATTAGAGAAAAGATACATTTGTTTTTTGCAGTCACTAAGTGCTTACCGGTGACAGAACCAAAGAATGGGAGAATTATCAGTGGTGCCCTGGAGACGAACCAGGAGTACACTTTTGGACAAGTTGTACTGTTTGAATGTAATGAAGGTTTCATGCTTGATGGGCCTAAAGAAATACATTGCTCGACAAACAGTGTTTGGAGTGGAGAAGCGCCGAATTGTGTGGGTAAGAGCCACTGACTATTCATTTGACTATTTGAATGCTTTTAGAATTTCTCATGAAAACATGCATTTCGAAGCCCTGAGCCTCTCCTAAAGGATCTGAATAATACTGATAATGACTAATGTTTACTGCACAATTACCCTTTCCCAGTAATTCATCTAAACTCTTTACATGTGTCATCTCATTGTATGTTCAAAGTGACTTGCATGATTTATGGACCGTTCTCACCTCTGTTTTATAATTGAGGAAATTGTGGTGCAAAGAAGATAAAACATGTGTCCAAGCTTACTGCGGCAGAGTTCACATTCTAGCCTAGGTTACCTGACACCAAAGACCCTGCTCTTAGCTGTAATTAAATTGTAGTCAGCTCTTATGGCCAAAATAGAATATGGTAAGCCTTTCTGCTGCAAGTTTTAGTACTGGTCTACAGGACAGGCTTTTAAAAAATTTGAAAAGCCAAAGGTGTAAATAAATATATTTACAAAGATGGAAATAAATATATTTCCACTGCATCATATGACATTCTGTTTTTGAATAACAGTTCTAGACAGTGGCCTGGTTTATACTTGCATTGTGAGTTTATTATAAATATTGCTGAACTGAATCGAATCCTATTAAATAAGTCTTTGCCTTTAAAAAAAGAGTTGTATAGTAAATTGTAAGTCAAGCACTCTTTAAAGTACAGCATAGCGAAAATACTCAATAATATTGTAATAGCTATGCATGTCAGATGGGTACTAGATTTGTCCTGGTGATCACTTCCTAAGTCATATAAATGTCTATCACTACGTTATACACATGATACTAATATATTGTATGTCAATTGTAATTAAAAAAAATTTTTTAAGTTTTTAAAATAATTCTTCAGCTATAATACTGCTGACCTGTGCATCATGACCAATCTGGTAATTCTGGCTTTCATAATGAAAAATCATGGTCAATTTATTTAAAGTGCCGTACTTTGTTTTACCAGTATGTGTTTGGCAGAAATTTTTGCTGTATTTATTTTTTAACATTACCTAAAATCTCCAAATGATTTATACTTTCTTAGTGTAGTCTATCCTCCAGTGAGACACACACAAAAAGCATCCCTCTTCTTAAAAAACGTTTTGCTAACAAAACTAGTTCTTCAAGCCAGCAATGATAAATATATTTATATTCAGTGTAACAAATACTGTATACTCTTAAGGTTTATGGAAGGGGTTTACTTCTTACAACAAAAGGTCTGTGGTTAGTGAAAGCTTCCTAATGCACAACGACTAATAAAGTAAGTTTTCAAGGGAGAATGAGAATTTTGTAGATGAAGGTGAGGAGGTGGAAACCATACCAGTCAGAAGAAGCTCATGCAGAGAAAGCTAAGCAAATGCTGTGATATTCCTGTTCCCGTTGTCCCCGGGGGTCCCTGGTGTAGGATGCAAATAGGGAATGTCAGTGATGGATTGAAGATAGGCTGGCACAATGTTCTGAAGGGCTGAAGAATTTGTCTTTATTCAGACTGAATTGGGAAATCATGAAGGATTTTCAGTGAAGCAATGTAGTGACAAGAAAAAAGGTCATTAAATTACTAAGAGGAAAACAGATTGGAAAGGTGGGAGAATAGGACCTTGGAAATTAGTTTGTGTTGCTGTAATCCCAGGGAATATTTTTGAGAGGTATGGTGTCAAAGATGACGGCCAGTTTTTTTCTTGATAGAAAACCTGGATGGATGGTGAAACCACAAAAGCAGAAGGGTCAGTTACTTTTTGGAGCTGTGATGACAAAGACATAAATTAATTTCTTTGACAAACTATTCTGTTAATAATTACTCTGTCATCAATAACTAGAAAATATGTATTCTTTGCAGGTTACTCAGTAAAAATACTTACCATAATAAGCGTATATCTACATTCCATGTTATATACACAATTGTTGAATACTACTGGCCACTATTTATTTCAAGAGGACTAATTTATCAAACCAAATAAAATTCACAGCGTAATTTTAATCAGCGTTTTAACTTTCCTCAGAAATGAATGTTAAGAACAACAGATAAATTATTCATCAAGCATGCACATTAAAACAGAGCTGGTTTAGTTGCCTGCTTTACCTGATGGAAACAAAATTTATGTCTTTATATAACTATGTCTTGGACACAATCCTTTCATATATAACAAATATTTTGGAATTAATTTCCTTATATTTAGAAATTTCCTGCAAGCTACCAAGAATTTCAAATGGAGAGCCCCTGAATCCTAAGGACATTTACAAACAAAATGACCGACTTCAATATAAATGTTACACGGGTTTTGATTACAGTGAAAGAGCCGACACTATATGCACTAAATTTGGGTGGTCGCCAGCTCCTTCATGTAAAGGTAATGTTATGTTTCTTTTCTGTATCTTTTGCTGTATATTTTATCAATTGTTTTCATTTGTGTCCTCCTTATAGTTAAGCAGTTTATTTTTCTCAGAGTGGAATATTATTGTTCATAGGAATCAACTATTATGAATATAGTATATATTTCAAATGTTTATGGGTGCAAGGCCTACTTTGAGATCAATTAACATTAGTCTCTTACTGAAGAGAGACACAAATGGGGCCAGAAAAGTTCAATAGCTTATGAATTAGTTGGTCTGTGGTCAAAAGCAAGTAGAGAGCACAGCCAGCCAGGACTGGAGCGATCTTTCTAATTCCCACTTAGTACGCTTCTCAAACAATTAGATTGCCCAGTATTTAGCTATAGGAAGTAAATTATATTAATCCCAGGTGAGAAACCCTCCACTGAAATTTGAGATTGTATTAACCCCTGGCCTAATATGAATCCACAGAGACGATGGCACTGAAAAAAAAAATAAATAAAAACCTTTCTTGTAGGCTTCATAAAGGATATTATACAGACCCCAAGAGTTCAACTGTGTTCTTTGCCCACCAAAATCTATATCTGGAATATCATGTTCTACTTAGCCTATTTGGTTTTAAAAGAGTTGGTTTTAAACTGTCATGGCCTATAAGAGCGAATGTAGACAGCTGAGGAGTCTAAAAAATGATATCATAAGAATAGCAAGAAGATACAGTGATAGGACCGTAATAACCATGTTGAGATTTTGCAAACATTTAAGAAAAGGAGTGAGTTAGCTTTTGATAAGGGCCACTGCAGTGAGTGAAAAAAGTGATGATGTTGTCATACGTGAGATCAGATCAAGTGACCGCCTCTAAGAGTGTGACACTTACAGATTTTTTTCTATACTGTGGGGTGAAGCAGAGCCCTATGAACTTTAAATCATATGATTCATAATGACAAGTATATACCTTGTTTTAGTAATCCTCTTTTACAAAAACTAGAGTGAGTTTTTGAGCTGATTTAATTCTTTAAAAAGCATAATAAAGTTTCGTTGAGCCCAGCAGCAGTTCCTTGGAAATAATCCTTCTACACAGCCGAATGATCTTTCAGGCATTAATAAGAACATATTTTAAAAAGAGATTAATGGGGCCGTCCAGGTGGCTCAGTTGGCTAAGAGCTCACTCAAGATGTGCGAGCTCTGAGCAACAGCAGTTTGATTCGCGGCCTGAGCTGAGCTGCCGCTGAGCCGCCAACAGGTGGCAGGATGGCTCAGCTAAAAAAAAAAAAGGGGGGGGGGGTTAATGAGCACAAGACAGAGATAACCCATAACCCACACAGATCTGTGGTAGGCTGATGGTGTGTGGGGTTCAGCTGTTTGTCTTCATGGCTTCTGTGGTTCCTACACAGAGAAAGTGGGGACCACAAGTCCCCTGTCACTCATCTCTGTCATATGTTTTACTTCCAGAGCCCTCTTAATTGATTAGTTAGTTAATTTATTCATCTAGTCATCCAAATGTAACTTACAAACCATTCTTTTCTATCAGGCTTCTGTCCTGTATTGAGGATAAACACTAGAATAATTATCCAGATTTCAATGAATTCTAAGTAAGAGTTTGGGAATTCCATTTTACTTGGAGATAGGACTCGGGGTAGCATGACTACTTCATAGAAGTTGTCTAATTCTTTTTTAATTTGCTAAGCTACCTACTTAGAACTCTTACCTAGCTTGTATTTGTTTGAAAATCTCTGTTTTCCTGTCTGTATTACTGCAATTCCTACGCTTAACTTCTCTTGAAACTAGACTCATTTACACACACACACACACACACACACACACACACACACACCAAAGATTCCACATCTACAAAACTGTTTCTTTACAGAGTTGGTTTTTCATTTTTTCAGTCACATGTCATAACTTAAAAAGAATTGACTCTGGGTGGTGAACATACAATGTGATATATAGACGATGGATTACAGAATTCTACACTCGAAATCTATGTAATTTTGCTAACCATTGTCACCCCAATAAACTTTAATTTAAAAAATAATTCAAAACTGTATGCTCCAGGGTTCTGCTTTCTTTAGGGAGAGAGATGCCAGAATTGGAGTGTACTGGGATTAGACACTCTTTCAAAACACAGTTTACTTAAGATCAATATAAATAGAGGTTCACCCCAAATTAGATAAGCTTGCACCCTCTCTTATAGGCTTCATTTTATTGAAATGCATTTTCTTTAGCTAGATATTGAGAGGTCCCTTATAAAAGGAACTCCGCTGTCTGTACCTCAGCTAATTATTGGGTCATCAGGCAAGTCATGATGCATGTTTGCATTGAAAAACATAGAAAAATACGTCATGACTTTGCAGACGACCCAATATATTACAAATACTTCCCCTTATTTTCCTGGCACAATTGGAAAGATCTACCTACCGACAATGATAAATTTTAGAAGTTTATATCTTTTTTCCAAATCTATAAGAAATTAGGAACTAAATAATACAAGAAATTTTAAAATAAAATAACCTAGGATAAAATACTTAAATTTTCTTTGGGTCTGTGATTTGTGTCAGGGATTTTCTTTGAGGGTACTTTGTCAAAGCTTCAGCCTCTGTATCTAGTGAGGGACAGTCTCTGAAAAGAACTCAGTTACAGGAAGAATGAAGAGCTGCTACGTAACCACCACCTTTGACCCAGTTTCATCTGTTCTCTGGGCAAACTGCATTTCCTACTGTTTCACAATGTGGAGTGCTAGTATTGACTTACTACTCTTATTTCAAATCTTAAGGATTGTTTCTAACAGTAAAAAAAAAATGTGACCTCACACATTTGGACAGTCTCAAATGTTATTATCTTGGATAGAGGCGCCAGCCCTGGCAATGGTTTAATAGCACCATTTATTTTCATGGAGACTAGGAGAGTAGGGAACTAAAATTTATCAAGGGATTTATGTCCACTGCTTGGAAGTAATCACCAGAAGTTCTTCTGCTCTTAATTAATTTAACAAAATTCTCCCAATTATTTGGTTGGTCTCTTAGTGAAACTCATGTTTTTTTATCTCATAGCTTTTGACTTCAAACATTGGTGTTAAGTTCAGCTATACTATGAAGTAAAAACTAAGGCATGTAAACGACTGCAATGGGTATATGAAAATATGATATATATAGCAGAATGAAACGGGAGAAAAATAAAGTAACATATTTAAAGTTCATTTAGGGTTAGTGTCAATTAACATCAAACACTGAAAACATATTTTACGTAAAAGGTATGTTTCGGTGGTCACATACCTTTTCTATTAGTATAATCATTGCTAATATATTATCATCAGCACTAGAGACATAATCAAAGCTTATCCTGTCAGAACGGAGTGTAAATTTAAGACCGATTAAGGTGAACACACAATGTAATATATAGATGATGTATTATAGAATTGTGTACTTGAAACCTATATATGTTTTATTAACCAATGTCATCCCAATAAATTTAATAAAACAAAAAGATGAAAAAAGAAAGATTATAATACCTCTAGGAGCTAAATGTACACAGTGGAAGTATGGTATGGAGAGGGGGAGATAGATAAGCATTAATTACAACTTTATAGAATATAGTTTCTGAGTGACTGTTGGAGTGATGGGAAGGAAGAAATGTGAGGTAAATTTCCAGGCTTCTGGGGTTCTTGTGCCAGAAATTGACATGCTAAACATGGGCGGGAACGCATATATTGAAGGAAGGATGATGATTAGTTTGACATATAATAAGTTGCATATGCCTTTGAATTACACACGTGGACCTGTCCGGCGTGAAGCTGCAGTTGGATATATGGATTTGCATCTCACGGAAGAAGTTGTTAACATAATGGTGGATGTTTCTGGAGTGGTGGTAAGAACCAGTATGAATAGGGAGAGAAGAATCAGTTAAGAAACGAGGAATAAAACGTGGACAGAGCAGGAAGAGCCTTGGCATGTGTGAAGACCACACAGAAGGGTATGGCGTTGGTCGCCCAGAGAGTAGGCAGGGAAGTGAGAGGAGGTGAGATCTGAGTAGGCAGGGCCTGAAATTGAGTAGAGGAAGAGGAGCAGCTGGAACTACCATGAGTAAAATGACATAGTATCGTTCAGTCCAAGGCAAAGAGAGGTAGGAGAACGTGAGAAAGTAAGGCACTGGAGAACTTCAAGAAGTCAGTGATGAGCTGTGTCAAGTATCTGTTCAGTTTTTATCTATTCAACTCAACAAATAGTTAAGGAGCCCGTCCCAGCCACTGGAATATGTGGAAGACAAAGAGTTTGGCGACTTGGAAAGGGAAGGACATTGGGGACTTTTGTCAGAGCAGGGCCAGCACAATGGAGATGTCAGGGGCCAGAGAGCAGTAGATTGAAAAATAAATTGGAGGTTGGAAAGTGGACAATAGCAATTGTAAAATGGCATTTTAAGGACCATGGTTGTGAAGCGGAGGACAAATGTAGCACCCTAGCTGAGCACTTAGAGAAGGAGTTTAAAATCGAAGAAGCTTCGTCCCCATTAAAAAGAGAGTGGTTAACAAAATAAGGCAGAGAGAAGGAATAAACAATGGTTCATAGGAAAATAAAGGGTTTGAGAAGCTAGCTTGAGTATGAAAAAAAATGCCTTATGAGCAAAGAGCAAGGGAAAAGCTTAAGTTCAGAACAGATCCAACTAACGTTAAAAAATGTTGGAAAAATCTGGAGAACCCACAGCTGGTCATCTCAGTTGTTTTCTGTGAACGCAAGAACATATCTATTGATGAAGGAGAAATTGTGTTAGGGACTTGTGTAAAATAAGGCTGCTGGTCACTTATTCGGGGAAATAGAATAGGAAGCAAATTAGGGGCATATGAAGGTATTTCAGGCAATGCTGAAGATACAGCTCAGATTTTGAGTCCAAAACACAACGTGGCACCAGAATAAATGCTCATGTAACATTTACACTGTAGTTAAAAGGCATGGTATTTTATGAGAAAAAGAATATTGCTAATGGATCCTTTGTTGAGATATAGCAAAGTTGATGAAAAGGACTGAGAAGGAGCTTTATACATCAGGCCAGCCTAGGCCCAGGGTATGGATTGCAGGGTGAATCCAGCCTGTCCCCTTCCTGTCACCAAAGTTTCGTTGGACACAGCCATGCCCGTTCGTCTATGGGTTGTTTGAGGCCACTTTTCTCTGTAAGGCAGACCTCAGTAGTTGTGACAGAGACCTTTCATCTAGTCCATTACGTAGAAAGATTGCCAAACTCCGGACCAGGTTATCTTATTACAGTAAGAAAAATGTCTTCCAGGGCCGGCCGAGTGGCGCGATGATTAAGAACTGGCTTGGGATGCCAGAGGGCCCCGGTTCGGATCCCACATATGAGGGCCAGTGACACTGCCCTCCACAGCTAAGATGCTGAACAACAGCTCAACCTGGAGCTGGGTTGCCATGAGTCACCGGCGACGGCGTAGGCTGCAGCCCCTGTGGCAGTGGGTTGCCATGGGCTACCGTGTGTAGACAGCAGCCAGCGTGAGCGGCCAGCAGCCGCAGTGAGCGGCCGTCCAGAAACCGGCGACTGATGTGCCTCGCCCGGGAAGAGCGCGATGATGGTGCCAACTTGGGCCAGTGAAGCAACGTCCTCCACAACTAGACTGAAGAACAAAACGACAGCAACTTGTCTGTTCCCCTTCCCCCAATTCCCCAGCACTGTTCCCTTCCCCCCAATACCCCAATAAAAATCTTTAAAAAAAAAAAAAAAAAAAAAAGAAAAATGTCTTCCAATGTTCAATAGCCTAATAAACTAAAGTTTATTTCCTATTCATGTTCAGTTCCAGTGTGGATTAGAAGGAGCTCTGCTCTTCTGTCATGTGTAAGAATCAGAAGATAGAAACATGGTCTTTCCACTCCCTGCTGTCCCTGCTGCTGTGGGCAAGAGAACACGAAAATTCACACAACGGCTTTTAAAACTTCCTCTCTCAAAGGGAAACAGATTACCGCCACATTCATTAGCCTGTGCAAATCAAGGAAGACACTCAGAATAGACAGCCCTTGTGAGAACTTCAGAAGCCCAGGAACTTGAGGGAAGTGGGAAGAACTCTTGCAGTGAGATCTTATGACGTCATTGTCACATGTGGGATATCATGATATGTGGGATGGTTTGGAGAAAGGGGATTCAGGAGCCCAGGGGACACAAGTGCATCAGATGAGGAATGTGCTCGAGGGGAACAGTGCTGTAGAGGAAGGACATGAGGCTGTGCTCAGTTAATGCCATTTGCCACGTGGTGAACAAAAATAACATCTGCTCTCTGTATTTTCATGTGCTTGATTATTTTCCTGGAGATTGATTACGCCATTATCCACATATCCTTTTTCAGAAATTACATGCGACAAACCCTCTATTCCAAACGGTGATTACGGTCCTCGAAGGCCCAAATACAGACTTGAAAATACAATCACATACCAGTGTAAAAGCGGCTTTTACCCTGCAACCCGAGGGACCACGGCAAGATGCACTAATATAGGCTGGGAGCCTCGTCCAAGATGCAGCTGTAAGTTCCTTTCAAATCTTCACCTGCTTCTGAATTCTGAAATTGCTTCTTCTGAAACACAAATATGGGGACCGACTGAGTCCAAATTTTTGCCTTTTGTAAACCCAGGAATTAGAATCATTCTGTGCTTTTCAAAGTAACCAATTCTAAGTAGGAAAAAAAATCATTATAAGTGAAAACTTCTAATTTTTTGGCATTCAATGTTAAATAGGTACTTGTGTGTATCATTACATATTTCTCTAAACGATATAATTCTAACACAAATAAATCTTTGGGTAAGAATTATCTAACACCTAGTATGTTAGTTACTTAATTCTGTTACCAAACTACTTCCAAAACACATTGACTTGAAAGAACTAGTTTCCATCATCTCAGAGTCCCCTGGGTCAGGAATTTGGGAGTGGCTTAGTTGCCAAGGTCAGAGTCAGGCTCCTGAGTCAGGATGTGGGCCTCGGCGGCCATCACGGAGGGCGGCTTCCAGGACGGCTCACTCCGTGGCTTTGGCAGCAGCCTCAGTGCTAAGCACACGGGTCTCCATAGGATGCTTGAATGGCAGCCCACTGCCCCAGAGCCAGTGATCTGAGAGACAGCAGGAAGCCTCCACACCACTTGCGACCTGGTCACACACTTCACCTCAGCCATAGCTGGTCTCAGAGAGAGTCACTGATTCCAGCGCAGGCAAGGGGAGGGAGTCAGGCTCCCTTTTAGGAGGGAGGGGCGTCAAAGACTCTGGAACTTTCTAAAACCCTCACATGTCACAAAGTGCCACTCAATTCAACAGGGGATTTTATTACTTGGGATGTTTCTTTAGCCCCCATTCAAGTGTTTTCTGTCCCGACAATCATATTCCAGTCTTTACCCATCACAGTTCATTATAAAGGTGGCCCGCACTTAAGCGGGATATTCCATGAATCTAAAATGCAGTGACACAAATAATACATCAGTACCTCAGTGTTAATCAGGGGTCAAGTCCAACTGAATTTTGAAAGTGTGATGCCATTGAAGGGTTACTATAATCACCAAGAAACAGATCTCCAGGTGGAGAAAAATTTCAGAAAAAAGATTATTTATTTATTTATTTATTTATTTATTTATGTATTTATATATTTATGTATTTAGATAGTATTGACATATAGCATTGTATTAGTTTCAGGTACAAAATGTAATGATTCAATTTTTGTATATAATGGGGAATCATCACAAAAAAAAGTCTTATTTACATCATCAGAATTCTATAACTTGTGTTGCCCTCCAAATCTTAATGCAATGAGAGCAATTACGTTAACAAGAAAATATAATTCATCCATTAAATATTTTGTCTCTCTTTTATTTTTATCAAGGCAAAACATTATTCATACTGTTTTTTGTTTGTTTTTATTACCAGTTGAACCCTGCCACTTTCCAGAAATAAAACATGGACGCCTATATAATGAAGAGACATATAAACCATACTTCCCAGTAGCCGTAGGAAAGTGGTATCACTATTCCTGTAATGACAACTTTGTGACTCATTCACAATCATACTGGGATCGCATTACTTGCACACGAGAAGGATGGTCCCCAGCAGTACCCTGCCGCAGTACGTACTCCTCTTTGTAATAGTGAGTGTGTAAATATGTCTAAGAGAGGAAAGCACACAGCAGAGCACAGGTAAGACTCGTGGGACGAAAATAAGATCAAGGGCTGAGCTCCATGAGCCAAGGACCAACACAGGTTCTCCTTTTATAGGGAGCTCTTCATTAATATAGCATACAAGGTAAAAATAGACTTTCCAAGAATACCTATTGTATTTATGCACATTTCAATTTTCCAACTACAGATAAATAATACTGAATATTGATTTTTCTATTTACGAATCATCTGGTAGTAGCTTAGTTTTTCTTAAGCTGTATGTTATAGTTGGATGTTTTTGCATTCTAATTTAAATATTGTAAAGATAAGTTTTAATTTATTATCTTGAACAAATTTATGAATTTTCTATTTTGTACTTCTTAGGACAGTGTATCTTCAGGTATGTGCAAAATGGATATTCCCCATATTATGAAACAAAATATTTACAGGGTGACTCTGTAAGAGTTGACTGCCATCCCGGCTACAGCCTCCCCAATCAGCAGACCACAATGACATGCACAGAGGATGGCTGGTCCCCTCCACCCACATGCATCCGTGTCAGTAAGTAAACTCATCTGAGACCCCAGGATGTCTGTGATTTTCTAAACCTCGCCCATAATAACTGGCAGGATGTTCGTGTCAGCTTCTTGTTCTGCCAGGACACCTTTCCTGGTTTTATTCTTTCCAAGTGTGTGTGAGTGGATACACTGAACTCAGGACGCGTGTATTGAAAAATAAATGAACCTACTGATAGACCTTAGTCAAAACAACAGCACAAGAATGACAAACTGGGACTCTGTACTAATAACGTGACATCAGCCTGTGGCTCAGTCATAGTTTCTACTGTCCTCGGCACAAAGAGCACTGATATTTGACAGTCCCCAGGGACAGAGCATCCCTGTGGGAGTCCAGGAATCTAGCAGAGAAGTTTCAGCAGCATCACAGCCAAAGGGTCCAAGAGCAGAGACCATGAAGAAGTGAGAGGGACAGTGCCACCACCTGAGTTACCCTCCGCTAGGTGCACGTCTTGGGCATGGGGTTGGAGACCGCGAGGATTGCTGGCTTTCATATCATTTTGGAAGGCTAAGTGGGTTACGGGTCAACTTGACCCCTTCAAGGCGATTCTCTAAACTCCCCTTTGGCTGGTTTGGAAGCCTGTCCTCCAGGACCAGTTTATTCAGAACGCTGTGAGTGAGGCCTCTTCCAGTCTCTCCACTAAGGATTGGTGTCTAAAGAGGTGGATCCACTCTGATCAAATCTGAATGTTTCCCAAGGTTGTGTGTTCTCTGGAAATCTTTGAATTTATGGGGTTCCTCCTCTGGCAGTTATCTGTTACCCATTCTCATGGGGTTTTGCCCTGCAAGATAGTGTGATATACTCAGGCAAAGAATCTAGTGATTTCTGTGCAGATCTGTTGAGCTCTGTGTTTCATTCCATAGTGTCCTCCTCGGGTTCTAGTGATGTCCACCTCTGTGAGGCCAATGACTTGGGTGTATTTTATTCAGCATGATTGACATATCCTGGTATGAAAGGGTTTTGTCTTCTGGTGTGTAGTCTGGAAAATCCCCCGCAAATAAAGGCACGTTGAGGACAGAGCTCACATTTGCCTCTCTCCGTCCAGAATTTTTGTTAGGCCCTGAGTGTTTCTTCAAGCCTCACAAGGTTATTTTCACGTATTTAGTTCAGTTTCCTCATTGTTTATGGCTGGAACTTTCTGTTTCTCGACTCTTCTTGCCTGGTTTATCCATTTGGGAAATTTCTTTAGTCAACCACCTTTTAACTGTGTACATTTCCTCTAGTGTTTGTTTCTGTTTCAATTCTACTCTTATTTTTATTTTTTGATATTTCATTCTTTCAGCTTAAATGGGATATAATTGACCAATAGGAATTGCATATGTTTAATGTGTATAGCTTGGTATTTTGATATATGTATACATTGTGAAATGATCACCATGATCAAGCTAATCACCATGTTTGTCACTTCCCATACTTAATTTTTTTTTTTCATGTGGTGAGAACACATAAGATCTAGCCTCAGAATCTTTAAAGCAAAACTCAGGAAAGCACCCATTCCTAGGAGAGCTCTGGCAAGTGGTGAGTTTCCAGATCCATTAGACACACAGATTTCCAGTAATTTCTTAGAAGAGATCCTGAGTATTTTAAATCTTGATTTGTTCCCCCAAAAAACAATTTTTAATAAAGTATCTTGATTTAATACCTTTGAAACTCATAGTTTATCTTCTCTGACACAAGACCTTGGATGATTAGGTTTTTTCAGGTTTTCATTTACAAATGACTCTTCATTTTTTATATTATGTTGTTTGAGTCCTTGTGAAAATGTTCATTGAATACAAGCTTATCTTTCCCTCATGCTCCCTTCATTTTAGAAACATGTTCAAAATCAGACCTAGAAATTCCAAATGGATTTGTTTCTGAACCTGAGCTTACATATCCCTTATCTAAACAAGTACAATATAAGTGCAAACAAGGATATGTGACAGCAGATGGTCAAACCACAGGGTCGATTACATGTCAGCAGCATGGATGGTCCGATCAGCCCACGTGCATTAGTAAGTCATTCACGATTTTTTGTTTCTTATCCTGGTGACCACTCTACAGAAGTTTTCTTGATCTGAATTCTTTGGGGGAGTGGGGAAGTGGGCTGAGGTGCCTCCATTTGAGGAGCTACAGAATGTTGAGAAAGTATATATATGTTTTTTCCCTGTTAAGGTTAATTGCTAGTAGGATAGAAAGTCAGTCCATCTTTCAGTTTAAGCTCTTTCCACTGTAGAGCATCCTGTGACTTAGAAACTAGTTAGGAGCCTTTGGCTTCTGGTGTAAACTTAATTATTTTTAGCTGAGACCTTTTGCCTGCTGTCCCTGTTTTTACCTGATTGGACTTTTATATCAGAGTATTTATGCCGAGACACAAAAGTTATGTTTTGCAGGGAAGGTATGGGTTCACAGGGCCTCATGCAGGAATAATGTCACCTGTGCAATTCATATGTTTGATACTAAAGGCTGGGTGCTCTCTGGAAACTCATTTCCTCCAGAAAACCTGCACAGACACCCTGTTAGCAGGACAGAGAAGTGCTTCCAGACAGAGCAGATCGCGCTGTACTGAGCCAGGTCTGCGTCCCACTCCCCCGAAGTTCATGGAGATTTTCTAAGAGCAGTTTGCTCAGGTCATCGTATTGACCCCAAAGTCATGCCATGAGATTTCTTTACTTGCTTTAGGTAGATATATAAATTATCCTTTTTACTATTAGCATCCCATTTCTTTCTTTAAAAAATTTTTTGCTTACTAATGGGCATTAGCCAAGTCAAAAAGGGTAAAAAAAGGTCCTCTTATCATACTGATTTTATACTGAATTGTGATCCGTTATCCATTATCAACTCTTATTAGGGAAGAGGAAATATCTCAATTACAATTTTTTTCTAGTATAATTGTGCTTTATTTTTTTTTTAAGTTTTATACTAGCTGTCTACATTAACACATTAGAAATGTGAGGTAAGTTACTTAAACCCTTATTAACATCACTCTAGTATAGGGCTAGTGAAAATGTAAACTATTTTATAGCATTTTACTTTGTTATACTAATTATAGACATAGAACTATCTGTACATTGAATCTTCAAAAACATAAAAAGAATACACAGCCATTAGGAAAATATTTGGAAAAGGAAAGTTAGCATGTAACCTTTCATAATTTGTATGTTTAAAGTAGAATTTCAAGAATATTTAAAAATTTACTCTTATTGTTGAAAATTAATCTTTTTGTTCAACTAATTCACTTTTTGTCATATGTGTTACAACTGCTAATAAGCTTGGCACACAAAATGCTATTCTGCTTTGTGAAAAAAACTGTGCGAGACACATATAATGACCTATCTTATTGCTAGCATGGGATAAGTACCCCAGTGTTATTTAACTGAGAAAATGTTCTTAAAACAAATATTTTGGTGTAAGTGATAAGAAAACAGCTTTCCAGAAACATACTTTTTCATTTTGAGTAACTATGTTAGACAATGATTTATCATTAGTACTCTTAGATTATTTTTATATGATATATAATTGATTAGCACATATTAATGGAACAAGCTTTTTCCTTACTAAATTCAATTGTACGTTAAATAATATTAGAAATGAAATCCTCAATTCTATTATGCATTAGAATATTGTGATGTGCCCGCATTTGAGAATGCCAGAGCCACAGGTCATGGCACGTGGTTTAAGGTCAACGACAGGTTGGACTATGTATGCCATGATGGATATAAAAACAGAAATGGACACACCAGAGGTACCATAGTATGTGGTGACAATGGTTGGTCTGACACACCCGCATGTCATGGTAAGTACTGTTTTCAGGTATTCTTATTTCAGGATTACCAAAATTAACAAAATTTATTTAAAATGTCATTTTTTTAACAAATTTGAATTATGTACAGTCATTTTTAGGGAACAGCGGTTAAAATTAAGGTGTCTCCTTCTGATGTAATTAACCTTGGTGAAGATGGTGTTTTGAAGCCCAAAGATAATACTCTTAATTAACGCACTTCATTAATGTAATGTTTCCTATGGCCCATATATATCATGGATTTGTGGGAAAAGTATAGTTATTTTTGTTATTCTAAATGCAAGCTTTTGTATTTTGTAAAACTGCGCACTCATTACCAAAATTATAATCTCCTACAACCTCCTCACTGTTCTGCTCCTGAGTTTCTCCTTCACCTCTCCTGCCTTGAGTGTTAATTCCTGCAGAGCCTGAGGAGATGTTTATTTTTTACCTTGACAAGTTTTTTGAACTATTGTGTGCTTATCATTTATGTTTGCCAATCAGCTGTCTGTGTTCCTGGGTTAGAAATAGCACTTCCATCTGTGGAAAACTGAGTGGATGTAGAGTTTTCTGACCCAAGGAAAAAGTCTGTTCGAAGCTCTGAAAACAAAACAATATTTGGAAAATATCGGGGTGAGCTGTTTCTACAAGAGGTGGGAGAATTTTAGGTGGAGATTAGGATGGGAGACGGCTGAGGAGATGCAAATCCGAGGACAGATTGGGGATATACTTTGCTGGTTGAAATCACAGGTGATGTTACTAAATGTTGAGTGTAATACAGCAATAATCAAGGGACTCACATGTTTGTCTCCCTGTTGTTTTCATGAGCAATCAAGTGAAGGGAAATGCCTTTTTCTGAGGTGGTGCGCGCAGGTGAAGAGCGCTTTGAGAGGAACATGTCAACTTCTGACGGGCACATGGGCGCTGAGCTGCCCACGGATTGTACACCACAGAGGAGGATCTATAGGTGTAGCCAGGAGATAGATACATGTGAGATTAGCAGCATGTAAATGATAACGTCATGTTGGGAAAAACAGAGCAAAAATGGAAGAGAGAGAACTCAAGACTGAGCCCTAAAGCATTCCAGCAACTAGAGATCGGCCAGAAGAGGAACAGGTGGCGAGTAGAGAGAAAGAGGCGGAATCAGGAGGGGAAAAAAGCTGGAATGAGTGTTGTTAGATGTGAAGAGAAGAAATTGATTGAAGGAAAAGGAAGTAGAATAGGTGGGTTAATAGTGAGTCGTGTGGCGTCAGCTTGGATGGGTTCCAATACCATTCCACAGTTGGCTAAGCATGTGTCTCAGGGTGACCACCAAGCCAATCTGATGCTTTGTTCACTCTTGCTTATGTGCAAAATGTTTCAATATTTACATACATTTTAGTATTTCAGAGGAAGTTTTAGTTATTAGCCTAAATTCTCCATATGAAGTTCTTGCCACAGGGTCTGCCATGTAATAAACTCACGGATACTGTAATCTATTATAATTACATTATTATCGTAGTTCCGGTGTAAACACTTCTAATTCAGTTGATCTGTCTGGTTAGAAGAGTGTGAAAATGTGGTGGATTTGGCTATATAGAAGCCAACAATTAGTGTAACAGAAACAGTTTTGGATGGAATAGTGGAGCAGAACCTACATAGAGTCTGCTAAAGAAAAAGGAATAGTAAGCAACTTAAAACAGCACGTAGGCATAACCCTTTCAAGAAGTTGGCTGTGTCAGGGAATAAATGCTCAGAATATTGCTGGATGAAGCTATTCCCCGAAGGGCATACTTTTCTTTTCTTCTGTTTACAAAGCTGGGGACATGATGCACGCTGAGTGCTAAGGACATAGTAGAGAGGGCCCCAGGCAGAGGCTGACACATGAGGTGGGGGGAGGGAAAGGGAACCAGAGCCCCTGTGGAAGGACTGGCTTTGAAGCAGCAGCTGATAGTTTCTGGTATGAGACCAAGTCACCCGAGATTGAGTGTGCCTGGGAGAAGGGAGAGAGGGGACATTCAGTTGACTCAAAAAGGGTTAAAATAAAGACTTCGGAGACACACACACACACACACACACACACACACACACACACACACACACACAGCTTATTATCGAGATGACGGCAGACATGCTTAGCACTGCTTAGGGTCCAGTTCAATGTGCTTCATTCAGGCTGTCAGCAAACACCTAGTAAGGGCTAGAAATAGGCTAAGAGACAATGGTAAAAAATACAAACAGAGGTCTGCCTTTGAGATCTTTCATTCCAGTATTGGGAGGGCGGGGGGGAGGGGAGAGGACAGTGAATTCAGCCAAATACTGAATCAAATGATAAAAATATTTATAATATATTTTCATATTACTGTGTTCAAAGAAACAAAGGAACCCAAGGATTTAGAAAATACGAGGACACGAAGGCTCTATTTCATGTAGGAAGGCATCTGTGCACAGAAAGGTTGAAAACCATTCAGGATAGAGATTAGGGCCTGTGCAACAGCGAGAGAGCAAAGAACTTGACCTATTTATAAATACTTAAAGATCACAAAGCCTGGGGCCTGGCTTGACAGAGGGAGAGACACGTAAGATGACATTGAAAGTGTAGGCAAGAGATGGTTCGTAAAGGGTTTGGATTTTATCCCAAGTAAAAGGGGAAGATTTTAAGATGACCGTGAATTTCTTTTCTGGGGTTAGAGGTATGAAGCCAGAAGCTTTTACAATTCTGAGGGGCCTGCTTTCTAAAACAACACAAAATCCATAATTCTTGTGGCTTTTCCAATGTCACCAGACACGGCAGGCAAACGTGAGAGCCAGGGAACTGAAATGACACAGACAGCAGTAGATGCCGAGGTGGCCCATGTGACTTTCTATTGGAAATATTATAGGAATTATGACCTTGTGCACACATTGGTAGAAACTCGCCAGCACAGTGCAAGGCTTCCAAGTATGGAATAAACAGAGGACAGCATGCTTTTCAAACATCTTTCCTCAATCATGTAGGAGAACATTGCACGCTGATTGGCTGAACCTGAGTTCGCTTTCAATGTCCTGGAAGGCCTCTCCTTTGGGGAGACGGTCCCAAAGGGGGATGGTTGTTCTCATAAACCACTTAAACCAAACAGTGTTTACAGCAAGCATAAATAGATGTACCATCAGATTAAAAAAGCCATGCCAACATGGCCAAGTATCAGTGCTAGGATTCAAATTTTTGATTTTTGGAGAGAGCGGTATCTCTACTTCAGAGTATGTCCATTCCACACCTCAATCACATTTCTTAAGTCATTGTCTCTATATAAATATAACAGCTGGAAATAGCCAACAGGGAAGATTTTTTTTTGTTGTTAAGGCAACATTTTTTCACAATATGATGAGGTAAAAAACATTAAATGAGCAGAAAATATATAAACAAAGACACACACAACTAAAAACATTGAGTAGAATACAGGAGTAGAACTTTAGGAGAGGAATCACAGTGGCTCTAATACAAGTGTGATCTTTTCAACTAAGCTACAAAACTCAATATTAAACCAAAACAAAAGAAAATCTATGGAGGTTTTTTGCGTGAGTCATTACTTTAAAAAATAGTTACCTTACATCTACTTTTATGATTGTAATACTTAACTTTTAGATAGTATGAATTTTCTCTTTGGTATGATTCCAATTTTCAAACTCCAGGTATTAATTTTACGTATTCATGAGCAAGATGGAAGGATTCCAAATAAGAAAAATGTTTTTTTTATAATATTTAGCAATGTCATAAATTTCACAACATTTAAGAATTTTAAGGGATAATTTTACACATTTCTAATTTGAATCAGAATAATTAACAATTTATTAATAACCTATATATATTATAGGTATATTAAGAATAGAAGGTTGTATATTATATAAATATTCAGCACACCTAGAATATGCTCAGCTATGTGACCTTAAACATGTTTCTTCATCCTTCTTCAGTTTGATGTATTAATGTATAAAATATTAATTAAGTGACTTATAATGTTCCTCTAACTAAAACATATTAAAAATGCCTAACTTGTATGTTCTGGTTCTCCAATTATATTAAACAAAAATACCAATTCTTATTTACTCATGCAATTTAAAAATTATAGCATTAGTTTTTTTTGTTTGTTTTGGTTGGTTTTTTGGGGGGAGGTTGTTTTTGTTTTTTTTAATGTGAGAGAATAGTTTTATGCCTGAATAATACAAAAAATAAAACATTAAATGTTATGAATGTCAATGATAAAATCTATCCACTTTATGCAAATAAATTTTACAAATAAATTTTCAGGACACATGTATTGCTTTTTAATGAGTCCTATATGAATTTAAAGGGTGTATAAAACCTGGTATGTAATTCTTTTCTAGGGAGATGATTTATCAAATGCCTTTCTATATACAACACACAGCAACTTATCGTTCCATGACATATAAAATTCCCTTTGGCAATGATTAATTATATATTCCCATTAAATTATTTGATCTTTTCTATAGAAAAGGAATGCAAAGTTCCTGATATAGAACAAAATGTAATTGCTGACCCAAGGAAAGACACATATAAAGTTGGAGAAGTGATGAAATTCTCCTGCAGAAACAGACTTCAAATTGTTGGAGCAGATTCATCTCAGTGCTACCACTTTGGGTGGTCCCCTAATCCTCCAACATGTAAAGGTAAATATTTATCTGACAGTTGCTGAAACAAGAATTAGAATTGTGGTTCTCACATTGTTTTCCTCTCTTAGTTTCCTGTTGGCTTCCATAGTGTGTATAATCTAGTGCAAACACCAGAGATATACCTCAGGAGAACATGTGCTGGGTAGTAGAGAACTCTGATTCTCTTACTTAAGTAATTAATCTTCCATTGTTTTTTGAAATCTGTATTGAAAGTATCCATAGATACACATGTTGTGTCTGATAGTGGACAGACTGCTTTCATCATATCTTTTTTGCCTACCATCATCAATATTGGACAGCATAATCAGCATAGGTTTTCACTGTGTATGTCTAAACAATATTCAAGCAACTTATAGTCAATTCAACGACATGAATGGCTTAATCAAAATTAAAATATGTTTATCAAATGCTTGCCTCAAATGATGTATTTTTTCAGAAAGTTTTGGTGAAGTGTTTCCATGGAATATGAATATTGCTATAAGTTACACAATCGTATTTATTAATAGGTTTGCTTTTGTTTTTAGAATATTTAGAGTTTTCTGAACATGTTTTCAACTAACATATAATACAATTCCATTGATCTAGTTCAGTACAAGTAACAGAACTAGGAGACAAAGTTGGGGTGAACACTATCCTTTTTCCTTTGTCTAAGAATGCTCTAATAAATTAGACAATAAATAATAAATTAGTTAAAGAAATAAGTTCTTCATTTTAATAGATTTTAAGTTGTAAAATGCAAAATGTAACCATCAATTACACGGTATTTCTACCACAGAGAATGTAGCACCCTGTGGTCCTCGCCCTGAGCTCCCCAATGGGGAAGCTAAAAGCACACCTAAGCAAGAATATGAACATGGGGATGTGGTGGAGTATGGCTGCAAGCCTAGATTTCTGATGAAAGGTTCTAACAAAGTTCAATGTCTTGATGGAGAATGGACAACCTTGCCGAAGTGCATTGGTAATGTATATAAAGATTACCATTTAGACTTAAGTCAACACTGTTTATCGTTACATAAGCACATAAATTAGATGTTAAAGGTTAATGTGTGTTTGTGAAATTTTCATAGAGGAGAACAGTACATGTGGAGATGCACCTGAACTTGATCATGGCTATGTGGTGTCCCCTGCCCCTACCTATCACCATGGAGATTCAGTAGAGTTCAATTGCAGAGAAGCATTTACAATGATTGGACACGGATCAGTTACGTGTATCAGGGGAATGTGGACCCAGCCTCCTCAGTGCATTGGTGAGAATACATTTCTCAAATTGACGTTCAACAGCATATAATATTTTTATTGTAAAACTTCATTTGCAGCCATATAATTGAAATTTAGAGATAGTTTTTAAAATGTCAGGTGATAGTTATAATGAAGCCAAACTTTTTGTTGTTTATAGTTTAGTATGTGTCTACAGAGGAAAAATAGAAACTAACAATAGAATTTTATGAATCTGTCCCAGATATTAACATTGTTTATAAGTAGGACGCTAAATTGTACTCATAGATGACCACAATTTTCTCCTCTCAAGGATTATTTCATACCTCCCTCTAGTCTAGCTTTTCACTCTTCTCAAGATGTTTATTTCCTCCTAACAAATAAAGAAATCCTTTCAGAAACCAATCCATCAAAGCACGTGGTGACAACCACCACCAGTCCTCCTTTTGACTACATGTCTTCCTTCAGTTACTAGCCCTTGGAGAATGTTCGTTTTGTGTCACGCAACACTCTGGGCCAGTCCTGAAAATAGGACTAGTTCTCAAGTCTCTGGCCTGTTTTGAATGAGTCTCCTTTGTTTATTATTTAGAGGTTGTATTATAAAATCATTACTATTCATTGGCCAACTACTTGGATTTTCTTTGTTCTGTTTGTCCTCACTTAACTCTGATCATTAACAAATTATTAACAAATATTACCTAGAGCCTCCACTGATATTTTATCAAATTCAACAAGGATTCCCATCTGCACTGAATTTTTGTAATACGGGAGCTCTATAAAAAACTTCTATGGCCAATGCAACTCATACTGCAGCCAACAAATATTTACTATAATGGCATTATATATTATGAGATTATAGGATGATATGTGTATAAAATACCTTCTCAAGGATTCTAAGCGTATATGTTCAAAAGAGGTCATGACACTAAACAGCTAATTAATTTCTTAGTCTGTTTTTTGATCATCATGCAAAAGATCTGTTTAAATATTCACATTTTATATGCTACATCTTAGACCATTTTTTCTTATTGACTTCATTAATTTTATTGAAAAAATATAATTAAACTTAGGAAGTTCATATATTTTCTTTCCATAGATAATTGTTTTTATTTTAACATTTTAAGATTTGGGTTAAAAATAATACGGAGAAACAAATGGTTATGGACATTGGCACAGATTTCAAATGGGACCCATTTAGTCATGTGGTGACTCTTCACTATGTTAACCGTCCATGAAGTCCAGCTCTCATGCTCCTCAGCCCCAAAGTGCGAAAGGCGAGAATCAGATTGATTCAGTCATGTGTGGGTATGAAACTGAAAGAAAGAAAACAAATAAGCAAAAATTCACAGACAACAGTTTAGTGGTTACCAGAGGGGGTGGGAATATTAGGAGAGGCTTAAAGGGGCCACAGTTGGTGACAAAAGGAGAACTGTCTGGGTGGTGAACACACAATGCAATAGATAGCTGAAGTATTACAGAAGTGTACATTTGAAATCTGTATAATTTTACTAACCAATGTCATCTCAATAAATTTAATAAATTTTTTAAAAGATACAATTACTCATTAAATTTTTAAAAATGTCTTTATGATGGATATTTTCTCTGAAATTTCATGACTGGACTATATCCACACATAATAGCCCATCTCATGCAACATGATCAGGGATAGCTTTGTTGGTGGAATTTCTAGGCATGCATTCTAATTCCATTATACTATTGATTTTATAGCTGTTTTTTTGTATTAGTTGGCTTCATTCTTATTATTAGTTTTATCATGGGAATATTTTCAATTTATAGAAACAGATGAACGTAAGAAGTGTAGATTATCCAAGTCAATTGCACAGGAGACAAACCTATCAGATAACGTTGACTATAACCATAATGTGAACATAAATTACACATGTCGAGGAAAATCAGAACACAGACACTCAATCTGCAAAAATGGAAGATGGGATCCCGAAGTAACCTGTGCAGGTGAGCTGTTTATCGTGTCTTCAAAATTTATTTCTTCTTTGTATAAAGTGCCTCTTTGTGTCTTAAGAAATTATTTTAACTATTTATTACCACAAATAATTTTCAGGCTGGAATGTAATTTAGAAAACAACCAACATACTGTTTCTAAATAATAGTTGTGCCGTATGCATTAGTCAGCTATATAACACATCACTCAGAAATGTGGTGGCTTTAAATGAACATCTGGGCAGTAGGCGTCCTCTTACTGTTGGAATCCCGTTTGCTTCTAATTTCTTTTACTAAAAATGGCCTATTCCTACAGCTCTTATGTGTGTACCTGAGTATGCATGTATGTATGTATGTATCTATCTGTCTCTGTAGGTATCTATCGATGTATGTGTCTATCTAGTCATGCATTTATCTATTTGTTTATCTATATTTACCTTGAAAACTGAGTCACATTGTCACCACCAATTCCAATAGCACGGGGTTCATTCTTTTTTTTTTTTTTTTTT